AGTGAAAGAGAGATATGAATCATCTATCTCGGAGCGAGGTGTGTCAAGACACTTCCATGACAAACAATGACTTCATCTTGTTCAACGTTTGGTTGGGTCCAAAAGGTGGTAGACGAGGAAGTTCATTCGGTGTTCATGCCGACTGAGGTTGTTGACATAAGCCGCGTAGAGCATATATCAGCACGGCTTACGCATCTTTGCGGCGCATGAAGCGTTTCTGCTTTTCAAGTGCCTTGTAGGGACAGACCGCTTCGATAAAGGCATTTATGCCAAACGTAATGTCAAGTCGTCAAAGCAGGCTGAGCTGTCCGTTCCAGGAGCCTGGAAAGTGCTTGGAAAGTGGCTTCGTCTTCCCGCCACGTATCGCGTTGAGCAATCGGTTGACTGCAATCTGGCGCAAGGCATTACAACGTATTTCACGATGGCGTCTCACAGCTAGATTCGTAACTGCTCTTGGCAGAGCTAGAAGTCATCTCCTTTGAGGAGGTTATGTTTGTCGCCAGGCGCTAGCAATGGCAAGACCCGACGAAGACCTTCTCCATACGTCCAGCCCACTTTATGGTCGACGTGGAGTCTCAGATCCATTGATGATTTGACCTTGAAGTGTACTTGGCGCTGTTAGCATCTGCTGGAATAGTGCGAAGTTTGTAGGTGGTAGAGCGAGAATCGTCGATTTCGCATTCATCATCGAGGTCGATGAGAAGGAAGGATTGTTTGTCACGCAGCTTAGACTCGAAGCTGTGTATGCGTCTTTGGCAATCTTCATGATGAGGAATAGGTTGAGGGTAGCTGAAAGCTATTGTGTTTGTTAACAAAAGCACTACGCTAAAAGATAGTGTAAAGATCTTTCGAGTGTTTTGGTTTGAGAGAATGAAAGTTATGAGAGAGTTAGAAAGCTATGAAAAACTAATCAACGGACGAGAGATACATATCAAACAGATTCGTAGATCTGAACTCCCGCGGAGACTTGTAGAGTTGAGAGTAGAGTAAGAGTAGGTTGCGGTAGCAATCCTACTCACTCCACGATCCCAAAACGGAACGCGTGGAAGATTCGTCTAGCATTTATCTAGTAGCGTGGAAGTACTCCACCACGCTGGCTAAATATCTAGAGCGATGTTTCATCATCAACCTAGTATGACTAGAGCGGTCATTGAGAATTCTGTCTCCAATGACTATTCGCGAAGGACTATGTCATGAGTCGAACTCAGACCCTATCTAGGATCGAGTCGCGAATAAGGCTAAGAGCCGTGTATTGCAAGTGACAGATAGGTGAGATTGCTCATCAACCCAATTTCCGTAGGAAGGGTTCCTGAGAACTGATTCCGCCCCAAACCAAGAGTATCCAAGGAGAGATGCCAAATAGATTCTGGTATAGTCCCAGATAATGAGTTCTGAATGAACACTAGGGAATCCAAACTGGTGGCATCGCCCAGTTCCTCTGGTAAGGTTCCTGTTAACATGTTTCCATCCACTGAGCATTTTTCCAGCTTTTGCAACAGCCCAAGCTCTGAGGGAACTGGGCCTTCAAGTTGAGCATTGGTGGCATAAAAATGAACGAGACTAACAGAAAAAAGGCCCAGCTCTGTAGGGATTGTTCCAGATATCATTGTGACTTCCATTCCGAAGTGTTCCGACTGGCTCAACCTCCCAACTAGGGACGATATAGTTCCAGCTAGATCAGTATTCTGGAAAAGGTCAATGGTCTTGAGGTTTGCTAACCAGAAGAGTTCCAGTGGCAACGTGCCTTGCAGAGCATTCGAATAGAGCAAGAGGTGTTGATAAGGGTTGTATTCCATGTGGACAGCTTGGTTGGAGCTGTTGAGCAAGTTGGGTGGGATGCCACATGGAGTGCAATCCTCCTTTCTGGTGCACTCTTGGGAGAACCAAAAACACTCATGAACTGATTGATTCAACCAGTTCTCATTGTTATACCAATCATGCCCGCCTGTAGCATAAAAGAGAGTGGCTAGGGCATACCTTTGCCTGATCCTGCTGGTGTGGGTGTAGTTGTTTTCGTCCAAGTCTTCCAGCATCCACTCATAGGCATGGGACTGGGGAGAGTTGGGATCCTCCAGTGCTTCCAGAGTGTGATTGGACAAAGCATCCACAACAAGGAGCTCCACATCAGACAGATTTTTGGCATTTTCTGGAGGGAGTGGTGAGTAGGTGGGGTCAGACACACCACTGTATGTGTCCCCGTTGTTTCTACCAGCATTGACAAGCAAAGCCACAACAATGACAAAAGCAGCAACACAGCTACCATACAATAGTGCCGGCAGCATGATTGATTGCTTCTTCCTTTCTGCCCTTCTGCTGCTGTCTTGTCCAGTTGGATCCAAGTCCGCCACGGGCAGATCCAAATTTTCAGATACTTCGTTGGCCACGGGAAGTCCATCCTCGAGTGTATCTGGGGCTGGTTCTGGTGGTATTGGCACATCTCGGGCTACATCCACGCCTGTACCAGTTGGGGTCATAGCAAATATGTGCAGTCCTTCTGGCGCCACTGCATACGCTCCCGGAATCATAAGGCCTGTTTCTTCCTGGTTCTGGGCGGCTGACCATAAACCATTGGGTCTATTCCCTCCCAGATTGTGGGGATCTCCTTGATTCATCCCTTGGTTTATCCCTGCCTTGTCCAAGACAGCTTGATCCTTGTTTTGTGTTTTGACACTCCCGGCACACACCAATCGATCCTTTTGGTACATTGCTGCTTCACCGACAATGAGTTGATCCTTGAGCATCATTCGAGCTTCCACATCAACTCTGATCGACTCAGCACTGATTGATGATGTTTTATTGACTTGATTCTGTCCATCACTATGGACATATGGATCACTGGAAGGAGATGGTACTGACCCACTGAGATTTTGTGATGCTTCCAGGAGAGAGGAGGTGGTCTCGGTCTGTGACACATGAGCGGACCTGAGCCCAGAAAGCTTCGCAAGCTCTGCATCGCTATATGTACCGTGACTTAAGCGGTTTACTATGTGCAAAAGGGACTCATCTTCCTCGTTGGTGCTGGAATCATCGGCTTTTTGGTTCATCTCCATGTCTTTTTTGTTGTTGTTGTCGGTCAAGAAAAATGTTGTGTGCATGTTCTGCCAACCATTGGTTGCCCTTACCCACAGCGGCGAACGATGATGATCTGAAAACCGTCTTTCTACTGAAATAATTGCAAAACCACGCACTGTGGACTGTCGCTCCATGGACCAGAGTGTTCTTTTTTTGTGTTCGTGCAGGTAGCGGAAAGGGCCTACTCTACTACAGTCAACACTCACTAAAGTTCCACCCCCCAGCATTAAGAAAAAAACGGAACTTTATAGAGAGTCGGAACTTTATATGGTTGGAGCCCATATCAGCCTGTTCGTGGTATCGGAGCCTATCTGGGGTGGTTTCTGTTGAGTTCTCTTGTTGTTGGGGGTAAAAGGAGATAAGTGGTCTTGGGGTGGAACTGCTTTGCTCCTATGTATGGTATCTGTATTGTCTTCGACCAGTAGAACATGCTACGTGGCTAGTTTCGATCTCTCTAAGATGCCTGTCATGAAAGATAGATGAAGAAACTTCATATATTATGTATAAATAAATGTATAAATGAACAATCTGAATGCTGGGTCCTAATTGGCAGCACTGTCTCAAACTGCCACAAAGCACATTCACTTGTCAGTCATGAGAACTAGTGACTGAGGGGGGCAGCCCTGAAAAAGAGGAACTTTGTAGAGTAATGGAACTTAAGAAAACGGAACTTAAGTGAGTGTTGACTGTACAGTACTACTAGCTAACGGTACCTGGTATACAGTAGTCCACAGCGGGGCATGGCTCGCTTGGGCCATGAGCCGAGGAGCCGGCCAGGGCAGTTTGAGGGCCACAGACAATAGCCGATGTGGGTGAACTTTGTTCTCCAGGATTTAAAGTTAAAACATTTTATTGGCACAATCGTCACATGATGTGTCCCTTTATTAAGTATATTGGGGACCTCGTAATTAAGTAATTAATCTTGCTTCTCAATTCTAAGTTCTAAATTCCACAATTTCCACATTCTTTTACCGTAATAAGGTACCGGTACCGGTGGCACCGGGTCAGGCAAAACTCGTTCCAAACTTAAACCACGGTCGTCGAGGTGAATGATTCGATTCATCCCAGTGACCGCCGCCAAAAAGAGCCACAATGGCAACAACTCGAAACACAAACAAAGTGGCAACAGGATGGCAACCGTCGATCCGTAGAAGCGTCGCACTCGCATAGATCGTCGCTCCGGTAGATCGAACTCTACACAGAGTAGTAGCCGCTTTTTGCAAGCCTGGCTCCGTGGAAGAGGAGGCGTCATGGTGGCTCCGTGGAAGTTGTCGACCGAAAGAAGAAAGAAGTCATCGACCGACCGATCGAATCCGTCGAATGGAAGAACGCTGTCGCTGTTTCCAGCCAATCCAAACAAGTGGAGCCTGCCATGGTGGTGGAGTAGTAGTAGTTATGAAAGAGGAGGAGCCGCTGTAAAGAGTAAATATCATCTTGATAGAGTATCGATCCAGCGAAATAAATGAACAAAAGAAGAGGAGTGGCTTGGATCAGTCGGTCGCCTGACCATGTGTGTTGTCAACCGGTTCTTACAGACTAGTATGTGGATTATTTTGTGGGGATGAATGAACAAAGGCTGTATCCACAGCTGCAACCCCATTTTTCCACATTCTGAGACAATTCCTAGTCTATTTTGTTGCACAAGAAGATGGAAAAGTGAACTTGTTGCTAGTCTAATGGCTGTTGTCTACGGAATTTTAAGAGAGAACAAACAGTCGAAATCTCTCCGACTCGACGCACGGATCTTCTTCAGTTCCAGCGTTCCAGCGCCATAATTTCAACCATCGAACAGCGAAAGCTATGCCCTCTTCTTTACACTCGGTCGACAATGCCGGCAACAACAAGGCTTGACTCAGAAGCGGTAGCCGTAGCGGTTGGCTCCTTGATGACTTGTCATGGCGCATGGCGAAAGGCGGCGAAAAGAGGTTTGTTTTTCTTCTTTCCACCGTGAAGCAAAAATTCAGAGTAGTGGACTTCTGGGAGCGATGAAAGAATTCGAGACCGCACTGTTGTAAACTTCGCAAAATGGCCCAAACCATCATTCCGGCATGCTCTTGACTAAAGAGAGTACCGGTAAACACATGAGCCGACTATCTAACACTAGCCTAGGATGCGTCATGACCTGCTACGGTAGCGGTATCGGTATCGGTATTGGGATCCACAAGGAGGACACGGAGCCAACGTAGGATCATGGCTTCTAGACGCAATCCCACAACTCAGAATTCACCGTGATGGGAATCTTTCGTTCTTCTGAAAATATGTATTAGTAGTTACTAAACGATGGCGTAGAACATTTGGTTTGACCCACAGTTGTTGTTGTTGCTGCTGCTGCCATTGGTACTCTTTCGGTGGTATGGTGGAATCTTGGTATAGAGCATCAACTTGGGGGCCAACCAACTGAACCATAGCTCTCAACCAAGGGACTTCTGCAAGAATATTCAGCCAAGATGACAACATTGATAAAGGACCATGATCACAACTACACCCCCACAGTGGTACTCTCTGTTTCATTGTTCTCACCCATTGCCATGGAGACAGCAAAGCTGTTGGTTTCGTTGGCACAAAGACAACTGCATCCACATAGCAAAGGGCTGCAGTCAAAACCCAGAGCAAGAACATCATTTCCACAGATATATTCTGGCAGTTTTCCAGACAACATTGTCCCTTCCACCAGGACCGTCCGACGGACTTCTCTCAGGCTTTAAAAACTGCCACGACTGACTCAAAATCCTGGTTCTCGTTAGGTGGATGTAAGAGGATGTGAAGATTTAAGAGGATGTTTAAGAGGATGTTGAGTATTTAAGAGGATGTTGTTAAGAGGATGTTTATTTAGGAGGATGTTCATTCGTGATAAGAGGAAGTTCTATGGTGTTTCAATGAAGGCTTAAGAGGATGTTTCGAAGCTTTAAGAGGATGTTGTTAAGAGGATGTATATTTAATTAAGAGGATGTTTAAGAGGAAGTTGAAGATTTAAGAGGATGTTAAGAGGATGTTAAGAGGATGTTTAAGAGGATGTTTTCAGTCGTGGCACATTCAATGTTTTTTTAAATCCTTATCGAAAACCGTCGGACGGTCCAGCAAATAGTCCAAGCTTGTCAGGTTTTGGGGGAGAGTGCCAGTCATGAATGTGTTGTTCGACAGTGACAAATATATAAGATCTGGACTGAGCCCTTCAGGGAGAGAGCCAGACAGAAGAGAGTTTTCCAGAAATAGCATGGTCAATGGGGCATTCGCCAACTCAGATGGCAGTGTCCCAGTTAGGTTTGTGTTGCCAAGGGACAAACCTTCCATGTGAATATTTTGGCCACTTTCACTCGGAATTGATCCTGTGAGACTGTTTCCATCCATCCACAAGAGACTCAAGTCCGTTAAGAGGCCAACTTCAGTGGGAATAGTTCCAGTGAAGGCACAAGAAGAAAAACCAAGATAATCAGCAGAAGAGAGCTGACCAATCTCTGTGGGGATGGTGCCGGTGAAGCTAGAGAAATAGAGATTCACATTGATGACATCAGTCAACAAGTCAATCTGGGAAGGTATCTCTCCTGAGAAGCCATTATACGAAAGTGACAGATAGGTGAGATTGCTCATCAACCCAATATCCGTAGGTATTGTTCCTGTGAGCTGATTCTGCCCCAACGCAAGAGTATGCCAGGAGAGATGCCAAATGGATTCTGGTATAGTCCCAGATAATGAGTTCGCAATGAACACTAGGAAATTCAAATTGGTGGCATCCCCCAGTTCCTCTGGTATGGTTCCTGTGAACATGTTTCCATCCATGGAGAATTTTTCCAGCTTTTGCAACAGCCCAAGCTCTGAGGGAACTGTGCCTTCCAGTTGAGCATTAGTGGCAAAAATTTGAGAGAGACTATCAGAAAGAAGGGCCAACTCTGTAGAGATTGTTCCAGATATCATTGTGACTTGCACGCCGAAGACTTCCAACTGCCTCAACCTCCCAATATGGGATGATATAGTGCCAGCTAGATCAGTATTCTGGAGAAGGTAAATGATTTTGAGGTTTGTTAACCAGAAGAGTTCCAGTGGCAACGTGCCTTGCAGAGCATTCGAATAGAGCAAGAGGTGTTGATAAGGGTTGTATTCCATGTGGACAGCTTGGTTGGAGCTGTTGAGCAAGTTGGGTGGGATGCCACATTGTTGGAGGTTGTATTACAGACACCTCAATACAAATTAGTCGTTTATCCCAATCTAGTTGATAGGGGATATCTATATCTATTCTCTAGTTACATACATGGGGAGTTTAACTGATCTATATGGTCACCCCCTTCACTATATCCTTTGAAGTTGAATCAATCCCAGAAAACATGGAGAAAGATCACTTCTTGGAAATAGCTTAACAGTAAAACAGTATTTTACCTTTACTAAGCTAGAGTGTTACTAGAAATCTACACTATTTCCAAGAAGAGTTTCATCTCGAATTCGAGATCTTGTCGCCAATGGCGAAGTCGATATCGACATCCTATTACATGAGTGAGTCTATGCTAAGGTAAAGACCTCATCAAAAGGTTCAAGCAAAAAGGGCTCTAGCCTCACTGAGAGAGCTATCCCTACAGCCTAGCAGGGAAAAGGCAACACGGAATCGTGCCTGAGTCTGCGACCACACCGAATGACTACAACGGAGGATCGACTAATTGACCTCCAGTCAACTCGAAGAGGATACAAGCATACCACGTGAAAGAACATCACTAACTACACTACTTCTATGCTTGAATGAAGCGAATCCAACAGGAACTGATTGAGTTACAACCAATCGAGTTGGAGCAAGAAGTAAGCTCCGGTCAGATCAAGACAGAAGCAAGCTCACAGGAGTGAGCACGCAAGAGCAAGGCTACGAGAAGAGATCAAGGATCCTGCGGTCGCACGAACACCAAGCTCACAGGAGTGAGAGCAAACTGAAGACTTTGAGCTGCGGAAACAGCCATCGTACAATCACTGCTAGATGCAGTGTGACTACGAAAACCAACTACAAGAAGACGAAGACTCGACTCATCTGTAAGCACGACGAAGTGTATGCAAGAGTGGCGCCAAGCTATCTAGCTAGCTACCACGACGAGTCAAGCAACCAAGGCTACTGTACGAGGCGGAGCTACCGTACGAAGCTACCGCACAAAGTGCAGCAAGGCTACTACGGATCCAAGTGGTCGTACGAAGCCTACAAGAGCAACACGACGAGAGTGTTGCCACGAAGAGGAACTAGATAACTAGTTCCAACAAGAAGAGGAATTACCACAGAGGTACTTCCGTGGGAGAGTTCCTAGACCCTCTATCTGGCCATCCAATCAGTGCCGATAGAGGAGAGGTGCGACGGACTCAACAAAATTCCAACGCACAAACAAGACGAATTACCAGGCCGATTACTCGGCAACGATAGGTCCTACGGAAGGACTGTCATACACGGAAGTGGACTACTACACTGTCACTGACAGGCCCTGAATAGTACAAGTCCTCGAATGCAACAGGAAGCGAGTTGCATCCATCAACACTAGCGCATTCAAACAAAATTGCAAGAAAAACCGAAGCAGTCAGTCAACGATCAAGGGATCGAACAACGACGACCGCAACTGCTACAGAGCGAAATCAAGTGGCAACAGCTACTCGCTACTAGTAGCTAGCCAGTCGCTACTGCTGCTACGTCCAACAACAGCGGAAGCCATCACGCAACTGCGGAACCAGTTGCGACCGTCGGCAACAAGCTGGATAACAGGAAATTTGCGAGCAAATTTCCACCAGACAGGAGTGTCAGCCGACACTACATACGAAGAAAAACAAGAACAACGACGCCATCGGTTGCAACCACCGATAGCGGGCGACAACAGCTAATTTGCGAGCGAACTCCGCCAGCAAACAGCCAAGAAGAAGCGTAGCCCGTCTACGATCGATCGAACGACGGCTACTACTACAACAAGAGCAAACAACGACTGCTACCACTGCAAGCATCAACAAGACGATCAGTGACTAATACTACTAGCCGGTCCTCGCTACCACTTACACATCAAAGTCTGTCGATCGACAACGGTGTCCACCACTGCTGTCGGCAGAAGCAGACATTGTTTTTTGTGAGGAGATCTCACTTCCAGCACGGAACGGCAAAGAACAAACCAACATACGTGTAGGTACGAAAGACAACAAGCCAAGCTGTTCACCGAACAGCAGCCACAAGCCGCTGAACGTCACAGCCAGGCGAAAAATGTATCTTTTCGCGAGATGGTATCTTTCCAGGAGTGTACGGAGAGATCCAAGCTACCGTTTGATCTCTCCGTACGTCGGCAACAAGAGGGTTCTACCGGTATGGCGAATGCAAGCTTGCCAC